AGCATAAGCCTCTAGCCAAGCAACCTTGCAATGAGCATCGACTCCAGCCGAGCAACCTCTCGCTGCGAGCATAAGCCTCTAACCAAGCAAGTTCTCACCGCGAGCGTAAGCCTCTAACCAAGCAGCCTCGCAACGGGCATCACCTCCGGCCGGGCAACCTCGTAACGTGTGCTACCTCTAGCTGAGTATTACTTTATGTTAAGCGTTGCTTCATGTTGAGCACTGGTTCTGGACAACATCTAGTCACTTCGGCCCACACATGGACTGAATTTGAAGTCTCCAGCCAAAAGACTCTCTTGACTGAAGACTTGGGGGACTCCTGTTGGTACCATATATTGGGCCTCGTATATTTGGGCCTTGGGCCTTGTATTTGGGCCTCACACTAAAGCCCATACTTTGTAAAAGAGGAGGAGCCCCTTATTCTATAAAAGGGGACTCCTCCCCTCATTCTAAGAGAGGCAAAAGAGCCAAGCCTAAGAAGGCTAAGAGAAGCTATCATTACATTCAGGAGAGACCTCACACCACCGAGGCTCTCCTCTCCCTTCTCTTCTTTCTCCTCCGGGGGACTTCCCCCAAACACTTGTATCCATACAATTACAGAGAAACAGAATCAACTACAGTGTGGACGTAGCCCAAACATTGGGGTGAACCACGATAAAATCCTTGTGTTCTTTGTGTTCTTCGTGTTCTTGAGCGTTTGTGCAGAATTCACGGTCGGATTTACGTTGTTCCAAGACCTCCGATTTTGTGCATCAACAGAACGTATATCTAACATGCAACCCGTCCGGACGTTCGGATCAAATCTAAACATGAAAGACTCATTATGCTTTATGAAAATCCTTTGAAAAACCATGCAATCCTTAAGACGTGATATTCATCCTAAGAGAAATTACAATTATTAATCACAAGAAGCCAGCGTCAATTTCAGGGAACCTTCCGACCAAAATTGCATCAAATTACTTTTCTAAAGATCCTAATGGTGATCAAGCATTACGACAATTAGATATTTTTTATCCCGGTGATTAACAATTCAAAGTACGCATGCAATTGATCATAAGTAATTAAATAAAAATCACATATTCATACTAAGGCTCAAGGCTTCGCCCTAGCAAAAGAAATTAGTTCCGCATATTCATAATTGAAATCATAGAAATATCTCTTAAGAAAAGGATTGAAAACACCTTCAAGTAGAAAATCTTCAAAACCCTAGCACTTCTCTCTGTCTCCAATATTCCATAAAATAAAGCGTAGTCTAAAACTGTAGACGGCCAAGCAATATATCTGCTAAGCCCCCACGCAAACCCTAGCAAACTAAAATTAATAAAAACCCTAAATAAAAATGATAAAAATTCGTCTAAAATCTGAACAGCCACGTTTTGGCCCATAAGCTGCTCCAAAACTGGCCCAATATAGCTGGATTTAATGTTTGGAATATTCTGAACACTTTTCCAGAAGGCCACGAACCCATCCGAGGTCATCTTGGGCTCCAAAAACGTCATTTTCCAGCACTGCGCACTGCTTCTTTATTTCATCGCCAGAAAATAACCGCTTGGTGGAAAAATCCCAAATTTTGATACGATCAAGCTAAGTGACTCACGAACGTCCTCCAACTGGAATTACTCCAAAATTCGTCCATTTGGTTCTGTTTTGCTCCAGAGGAAGTCGAAAGTCCTATATTGAAAATACAATTCAAAGTATCAAATTTCTTCCAATATATTAACCAAAATATACTAAGATTAGGGTAAAATATATAATATAAAATTTACTCATCAAATACTCCCAAACTTAGCTTTTTGCTTGTCCTCAAGCAAAACAAGACTCAAACAAAAATAAAAACTTAACAAACTAGACAACTAGCTAAAATTAACTGACAAAAATTTTCATCTTGAAAGTTGCAATCCATAGCAAATTTTAAAAACTAGAACATTTTTTTCAAAAGTTCCAACCACTCCCACCACAGAGTCTAAGCCATTTAGAATCAATTAGAAAAGAATTCACAAACTTCCTTTGGTGTAAAGTGAATCAACATAATTAAGGAGACTCGACTAAAACACTTACCTCTCGTTCTTATTTATTTCACACATAGTAACTTTAAATATAACTCTCTTTCTTTTTTCTTTTTTTTTTCTTTTTCACTTTTTTTTCTCTTTTTTTTTTTTCATATATAACATTTTTTTTTCCAGTAACAGTAGTGGTCGTGCAATGTCGGTTCACTTAAGCTTTCAATCCAACCCATGTAGCGAGCTTTAGGTCAATGACTCCCAAACCACTAGGGCTTTAGGGCACTAGGTGTAGAACACCCCTAAGGACTTATTAACCCGAGCTGAAAAGGCTACAAAACCAACTAACCACCCTGCCTCATGCCAAAACTCTACCGTTTGACGCGAGAATCACTGCTGATTAGGCAGGACTGGCCCGGTTACTAGGAAAAACCTCGGGTGAGACAATTATTACTTTTTTCACAATAATAACTTACTTTACTTAAAACAAAAATTAAAAATTAAAAATAAACTTAGACTAAAAGCAAGTATTTCAATCTCACTCCTCACTAACCATGTTGGTGTGATGTGCAAAGTTCAAAGTATAATTCATGAATTAGTGTCTAAGCAACGATAAATAGAAAAGACTCTAATGTGGGATTAATCTTTATCATGTCCATTTGTTCTAACGTTTAAAATAATCTATGGATATTAACTTAGCAAGAATGAAAATTTTTAAACTGCACAAAATTAAAAGACCTAAAATGTTATTTTCCCACCCCCAAACTTATATCACACTTTGTCCTCAAGGTGTGGAAACTAAAATAAAAGAAACTAAAAAAAACAAAACAATAAAATAAAACACCAAAAAAAACTATTACTAAAAAGAACCAAGAAACGAAAAGAAGAAAATAAAATGATATATATATATATATATATATATATATATAATAAAATGAAAAGAAAAGAAAGAACAAAACCTGGCAACACTCCAGAATGGGGCGTGCAGCATCAGGCTGCCTTGTATTTGAAACCAGCAGGGCCTCACGTGGCCCATCATGGCCTGACAAACATATGGCCTCGAGCACCATACACAAACATTGGATTCCTGGGAACTGAACGGGATCCAACTGGCGTGCAATTTGAAATTTAATTATTATTATTATTATTTTTTTGACTGACCTCGAGCACCGAGCTGACGTACTCTCTTCGTTTGATTAAACCAAGAGCCAAACGGCTCTTTATTTCCCCCTTGCAAAACAGCTGTCTCGGACAAACCAGAAAAATGCCAGATTTGTACACGTGTTGCGCATCCGTGTTACCACTCCTTAGGATTCCAAATAAAAGGTGCAGATCAACCCATTTGCCCATATCTCTCTCTTGCTCTCAGATCCCATTTTTCTAAAATGAAAGGACCTCTCTGTCTCTCACATTTTTCTCTCCTTTCCTCAAATCATCTCTGCATCTTTTCTTCATTGCTCTAAAAAAACGCAGGATCCTTCTTCCTCCCAATTTTTTTTTTTTTTTCCGCATGTCTCTCGGAACTCTTCCATGGTGGAGCGACACAGGCATGTCTGATTCCTCTATAATAGTGCTCTGGTCCATGATAGGGATTTTTACAACTTATGTGAATGCGATAAAAACCTCTTATTTTACTTGCAAGAATCACAAGGTTATTGTAGTATAAACGGATTTCGCAATGTCATCTCCACAAGGGATTATTAAATAATTCGAACTAATCAGATTCCATTTAATTATTGTAAAATAGAAATTGAAGTGATTGATTTTATAACCTAATTAAAATAAAAACGAATTTAATGAATTAAAATAAACAATCTGCAATATTAGTATTAGAGAGAAGAAAACAGTTTTGAGAAAATCAAATTAAGAAAGCACTAGGGATCCACCATCACCTAACAATCCTATGAATTTTTACCAATTACTTATGATCTACACATGCCACTTTGAAGGTTACATTTTCCTAATTCATATTCTACTTGAAACCTTCAACATAGAACGTATATCTAACATGCAACCCGTCCGGACGTTCGGATCAAATCTAAACATGAAAGACTCATTATGCTTTACGAAAATCCTTTGAAAAACCATGCAATCCTTAAGACGTGATATTCATCCTAAGAGAAATTACTATTATTAATCACAAGAAGCCAGCGTCAATTTCAGGGAACCTTCCGACCAAAATTGCATCAAATTACTTTTCTAAAGATCGTAATGGTGATCAGGCATTAAAACAATTAGATAGTTTTTATCCCGGTGATTAACAATTCAAAGTATGCATGCAATCAATCATAAGCAATTAAATAAAAATCACATATTCATGCTAAGGCTCAAGGCTTCGCCCTAGCAAAAGAAATTAGTTCCGCATATTCATAATTGAAATCATAGAAATATCTATTAAGAAAAGGATTGAAAACACCTTCAAGTAGAAAATCTTCAAAACCCTACCACTTCTCTCTGTCTTCAATATTGCATAAAATAAAGCGTAGTCTAAAACTATAGACGGCCAAGCAATATATCTGCTAAGCCACCACGCAAACCCTAGCAAACTAAAATTAATAAAAACCCCCAATAAAAATAGTAAAATTCGTCTAAAATCTGAACAGCCACGTTTTGGCCCATAAGCTGCTCCAAAACTGGCCCAATATAGCTGGATTTGATGTTTGGAATATTCTGAACACTTTTCCAGAAGGCCACGAACCCATCCAATGTCATCTTGGGCTCCAAAAACGCAATTTAAGCCCAAAAACGTCATTTTCCAGCACTGCGCACTGCTTTTTTATTTCATCGCCAGAAAATAACCGCTTTTTGGAAAAATCTCAAATTTTGATACGATCAAGATAAGTGACTCACGAACGTCCTCCAACTGGAATTACTCCAAAATTCGTCCATTTGGTCCTGTTTTGCTCCAGAGGAAGTCGAAAGTCCTATATTGAAAATACAATTCAAAGTATCAAAATTCTTTCAATATATTAACCAAAATATACTAAGATTAGGGTAAAATATATAATATAAAATCTACTCATCAGTCCACAACACTGAGACCCAAACGAGCAGATCTAAAACAGTTCGTCCAAAAATCCTCCCTTTGCAGGTAAAAACGAAGCCATGCCATTTCTCCTTTTGTTCGTTCAAATGTAAAGATGTAGCTCCATTTCTGCTGACTTCATCACCAAGAGTAAAATGAAAATGTTTGTGACTGATGCATTTGATGGTTCTATGTTTGTCTCAGTTTCCTCACAGATTGATGCATCCGTAGCCTTCCATAACCCAACAACAACGCACCTCCGTGAGTACCCCGCCGTGATGGAAAATCGGAAAAACGGAAACCCAAAGGTAAAATCACCCTCCAATCTTGTGGTTTCATTGTCCAATTTATTTGTTGGAGAGATATGGAACAAACACTAACACCTGCATGTGGTTTATCAGTGGGAAGAGCCCTAATGGTTGCAAATCCGAGACAACAACACAAGAACACACCCGGAGTCAGCAGCTCAGCTCCACCAAGGATCTGCAAATGTTGAGGTAAAACCCGTAACCCTTTTGATGGATGAATGATGATCTGAGATTTGAATAATAAAACCACTACTGTGACTGAAAAATTTTCCCTCAACTCCAGCGTACAACCGAGAGACAACAACCGTGAGCTTCCGGTCTAGTGGTTCCTGAAGGCAGCATAAATGACAAATGTCTCGGCCTCAGCAAATAAGTAAGGTAACGATCTTGTACTCCGTGCATGATGGATTCCATTCCGTGAGACCGTTGCTTCATTATACCTGCATGTAATGAAACTGGTGTGGTATGTTTGTAGAACAAGCGGATCCATGACAGATCCGAAAGAAAGAACGCTCAACTGGATATCCATCAGACAAAAGGCAGGATACATCGCAACAGCCATGACTGAGCAACCTTGAAGGTATAAACACTCATCCGGCCGAAACTATGACTTTCACAATACTCTGTGGTTTTCAAAAAAAAAATTTTCTGTGTCTCGACATAGTCTCATATTGGTGTGCTCTGTGCGATATAGGCGGATCACTGATAGATCCGAGGGAAAGAAAAGGGTGGACAAAGATTAGCTTCAATAGACAAACGGTACAAGCTGCCAAGAGCCCAGATCGATGAATCTGGGAGGTAAAATTTCGTATCCTTGCAAGTGGAATTGTTGTAGATCTGGTAATAATAGTTGTACTCAGTTCTGTGGTGTATGGATCTGTGATTTAATTGTGCTTCCTCCATGCATCGCACAACTGAGCTGCAGAAAATTAACTGCTCTAAATTCTGTTTATGTGCTGGATCTGCAACAATCACCCCCAAACTTGCATATGTGAATGGCTTTTTATGTTGACTGCTTTAAAGTTCCAGCATAGTGTAGATGTGGTTGATGTGAACGTTAGACTTGCTGCTGGGTGCAGGATTCCAGCATAGGACGCGCTTTATTTTCCACGTTCGCAACCTGCAATTAACCAATATGCGTCAAAAAATTAAAATAAAATCAAATAAACTGGGTAAATAAAATCAATATGCAATCTTCCATTTTTTCCAAATTTTTTATTTTATTTTTATTTTTTTATTTTTTTTATGTATGTTTTTTTTTATATATATATATATTTTTATCTTAAAGAAGAAAATCAAACGAAAATTAAAATTAGGAAAGAGTTTAGAAAAATTGGGTTGCCTCCCAATAAGCGCTTTATTTTAAGTCTGTAGCTAGACGTTGCGGAAGTCCGGTGGCTAGATCACTGGTGCCTTCAGAGTCAAAGACTCGTATGCAGTATCAAAGGGTGCCTCCACGTATGGTTTCAGCCTGTGACCGTTCACCTTGAATGTGTTGCCTTGAGCCGCATTAGATATTTCAACTGCTCCATGAGGAAAGATTTTAGTAACCAAATATGGTCCAGTCCAGCGAGATTTCAATTTCCCTGGAAACAACTTTAGCCTTGAGCTGAATAGCAACAACTTTCATAAGCACCCTGACGAATTTCCTCCAGCTCATTGAGCTGCAATTTACGTTGTTCTCTAGCTGAGTCATATGAAAAATTTAACTCTTTAATTGCCCAGTACGCCTTATGTTCAAGTTCCATAGGTAGATGACATGCTTTCCCATAAACGAGTCGAAATGGTGACATCCCAATAGGAGTTTTATAAGCTGTTCTGTAGGCCCATAACGCATCATTTAATTTTAAACTCTAGTCTTTTCGTGTTTAACCAACTGTTTTCTCCAAAATGCGTTTTAATTCTCTGTTTGAAACTTCCACTTGACCAGATGTCTGTGGATGATAAGGTGTAGCCACACGATGATTAATCCCATATTTTGCCAACAAATTAGCAAATGATTTATTAATAAAGTGCTTCCCCCCATCACTAAGAATAACGCGTGGAATTCCAAAACGCGGAAATATAACCCCTTGGAGGAACCTCAGGACTACTGATCCCTGATTAGTTGGTGCTGCAATGGCCTCGACCCACTTAGAAACATACTCCACAGCAACTAAAATATATTGGTTCCCATGGGACGATGGAAATGGTCCCATGAAATCAATACCCCATACATCAAATAATTCAACAATCAAAATACTTTACCGGGGCATCTCATTCCTTTTGGACTGGTTGCCGACTCTTTGACACCTATCACAAGCCTTGCACCAATTATATGCATCCTTAAAAAGTGTAGGCCAAAATAACCCACTCTGCAAAATTTTTTCTGCTGTTCTTTTCTGCCCAAAATGTCCCCCACAAGCAAAATGATGAGCAAACCTTAAAACACTTTCCTGTTCGGCTTCAGGAATACACCTGCGAATAATCTGGTCTGGGCAATACTTAAATAGGTATGGCTCATCCCATAAATAATGCTTCACATCAGATAAAAACTTCTTTTTCTGCTGCAACGTTAAATCTGGATGCACTACCCCTTTAACCAAATAATTAACCATATCAGCAAACCATGGTGTACGGAATTGGACTGCAAAGAGCTGTTCATCTGGAAAACTCTCCCTCAGTGGTAGGGAATCCTCTTTTGAAGCTGTGGGAATAATTAATCTAGATAAATGGTCAGCCACCACATTTTCACGACCCTTTTTATCTCTGATTTCTAAGTCAAACTCTTGCAATAAAAGAATCCAACGTATCAATCGAGGTTTAGCATCTTTTTTAGACAACAAATATTTCAAAGCTGCATGATCTGTATAAACAATCACTTTAGCCCCAACTAAATACGAACGAAATTTTTCCAATGCAAAAACAATTGCCAACAATTCCTTTTCTGTGGTAGCATAGTTTAGTTGTGCATCATTGAGGGTTCGACTAGCATAATAAATAACTTGGGGAAGTTTATCTGTCCGCTGTCCAAGAACTGCCCCCACTGCAAAATCTGATGCGTCACACATCAGTTCAAAAGGTAGGCTCTAATTAGGAGCTGCAATAATGGGTGCTGTAGTGAGGAGTGTCTTTAACTTCTTGAAGGCCTCCAAACAAGCCTCATAAAAAACGAATGGAGCGTCTTTAGCCAATAAATTACACAAGGGTCGGCTAATCTTAGAGAAATCCTTGATGAACCGTCTATAAAACCCGGCATGGCCAAGAAAAGATCGAACACTCTTAACAGTTATCGGGGGTGGCAACTTTTCAATTGCATCAATTTTAGCCTTATCAACTTCAATACCCCTGTTAGAAATCAAGTGGCCCAAGACAATTCCCTACCTAACCATGAAGTTACACTTTTCCCAGTTTAAAACCAGGTTGGTCTTAATGCATCTTTCCAGAACTAGAGATAAATTTTGCAAACATTGGTCAAAAGAATCCCCAAAAACAGAAAAATCATCCATAAATACCTCAACTACATGTTCAACTAATCTGGTAAATATGCTCATCATGCAACGCTGAAACGTGGCAGGCGCATTGCACAACCCAAAAGGCATTCTTCTATATGCGAAAGTCCCAAAAGGACAAGTAAAGGTTGTCTTTTCTTGATCCTCAGGGGCAACTGGAATCTGGTTATACCCTGAATAGCCATCCAAGAAACAGTAGAAAGCACGACCAGCCAACCTTTCCAACATTTGATCAATGAATGGCAATGGAAAATGATCTTTTCTAGTTCCAGCATTGATCTTTCTATAATCAACACACATACGCCACCCAGTAGTCAAGCGAGTAGGCACAAGTTCATTATTATCATTTTTCACAACTGTAATACCAGAACGCTTTGGCACCACTTGAGTTGGACTAATCCACTTACTATCTGAAATGGGATAGATCATCCCAGCATCTAAAAGCTTCATAACTTCATTACGAACAACTTCTTTCATAATTGGATTCAACCGACGTTGAGCGTCAATGGCAGGTTTTACCCCATCATCCAACAAAATTTTGTGCATACAAATTGTAGGGCTGATCCCTTTAATGTCAGCTATAGTCCAGCCAATTGCATCTTGATGACTCCTTAAAATGCGCAACAGTTTATCTTCCTCTGTTGAAGATAAATCAGCAACTATAATAACTGGCAGCAAAGAATTTGCACCCAAATAAGCATATTTCAAATGTTCTGGAAGAACCTTCAACTCCAGTTTAGGTGGCTGTACCTTAGAGGGCTGCATAATTTGAATGATCGCTCGGATTTTGGTGAACGTACCAAGTTTTCGATTTCTGCCTAGGGCTATGCAATCTTGTAAGCAGCTATGTTGGTCCACCTTGAGGCCAATTGTCACCCAACCTATTTGATGTTACAATTGGTTACTGGGTACGAACCTAACGATTTTCATATTTACGCATTTGGGTGTGTATTCCATGTGCCAGGTTGCGCTGTCGCAATGTACCAACATAGGTCCTCAAAAGAAGGATGTGTATCTTATGTCGATCATGATTCTCTTTTACACTAGCTCACATAGAGCACTTGCACGCGATCTTTTTACCGCTCATTTGCGGGTTGTCACTTTAATGAGACAGTCTTCCCATAGTTAGGGGGAGATAAGAATGCCAAAGTTCGTGGAGAACGACACAAATTTACGTGGACGAAGCCCTTATGTCTCATCTCAATCCCTATACTGCACAAGTATGATAAGCAAGTGCGATGAATTCTAGATTTCAGAATGTTGCTCCATACGCATTGCTTTGATCTAGCTAAATTGACGAGATCATATACCAGCTGCAAACATGCTTGCAAGGATAGATGTACTTAACAGATGTTGAGTCAACATCCCTAAAGGGTGTGCCGCCCTTGTTGGATGGTCTGGTACACCAGCAGATAGTCAATCAGTCTGTCTTGGCCTGGAGCATGACAGATCATTCAGTTTGTAGGATTCACTTCCCTAGAAGAGGAAGACACGGCACAACAATGAATCCATGCTTGATCGCTCTCTCAAATCATTTCCATCTCATGAGATTAATCTAGATTACTCCCGAGACTTGAAGTTCTTGGTCTAGTATACTAGTTTGGATAAGCTAAATGGAATTGAAATGAGATTACCATCGATGATGTTCTCACTTATATTGTAGCTACCGATATAAATGAAAAGCGACGATATCGAATCGTGTTCCTTTGATTAAGTAACAACGTAGAACTAATTGGACAATTGAAATTACAATCCAGGTTAAATTCCTTACCAAAGTTTGTATTGGACCTATCATTCCTACACTGCCCAAGGTAACCCCGTTGTGTTACAAGTTGGAAAGGAAACGTTATGAGATGAATGAAATAGTACGATATGATGCATGCCTTATGGTGTAAGGTTTCTCTCAAAACGTCTTGTGATTGATAGCATCATTATGAAATGTGGTTAGTATTTCTCTATGAGGATATAGATATGGAAATTTACATATAAGTTCCCGAAGAATTACATGGACTGGTTCAAATAGTTCCAAAACTACAGAACACCCTCTTAACTTATTTAAGGCATTCACTTACAATCCGACGGTTGTGGTATACCCGTCTAAGTGATTATTTGATCACTTAAGGATATGAATTATGCCCTTGCATGTTAAACTATGAAGTCTTATTCCGAATTGGTAGAGTTACAGTTTATGTCATTAACACAAATCTCACTAAGACTCTAGAAGAGCTTGAGAAAACTGCCTCGCACCTGAAGATGGAATTTGAGATGAAGGATCTTGGGAAAACTCGTTTATGCCTTAACTTGAAGTTGAAGCATTATTCTGACGGTATTTCGGTCTACTAGTCAAACTACACCTTGAAGGTGTTACCTTTAAGTATACATTTGATCGTCTATACGTTATATGCAAATAAGACCCTTGAAGAGGTTATGGAATACGAAATTCCATATCTAAGTTCAACTTTGCACTTCGTTGTACTTAGCTTATTGTATTTAGACAGGACATGTCATTCGATGTTGATCTTGGTAAAGAT